CCTTTAAGATTTTTGGTATTTTGAGATGTGGGGTTGCGTTAGTTTAATTTCTTGAAAGTTTGGGCCTCTTTGTGTAAAATTACAAAAGTTGGGTCTTATTCATAATAAAACCTAGATGCATGTTGCATAGAGAAAGTGAATGAATGTGAATTGTGATGAAAATGGAACCTAAGGTTGAAATGTTAATTATGGGAATTGACCTAATTACATTGTTTACTAATTGGGAAATTAATGAGAAAAGTGAGGAAATGAAATGTTGATTGAATATCCAATGTGCATTTATTTTCTGTTTAAGAAATAACGGCTTGGGCTATCGGTGGAGGATAGTCGTGCATTGTTGCTAGGACAATTGCAGATTGATTAGGCAAACTGGAAACTTAATCAATGGAATGTGTCATGGAATTGACGGTTGATAAAATGTTACCATTAATATAATGTATTGAGATTGGTATATAGAAACATGTGTTTGTATACGTTATGTGTAAGGGAGGAGGAAAGCGGGATGTACTCCGCCGCGTTTAGGGGAAAAGGGGATGCTACCTCTAAACCGGATAGCGTTGGGAGGAAGATAAGCGCGGATGAACTCCGTAGATACAGCCTCATAGCTTGTCTAGAGAAGTGTGGATATAGCTTATATCTTATCTGTAGGATATTGTTGTTATACATATCTGTTGTTGATTGTGGATACAGGCTTATATGCTTATCTGTGGCATATTGTGTTAACATATCTTGTTGTAGAATGTGGATATAGCTTATTTGCTATCTGAGAATGTGGATATTGTGTTCATACATATCTGGTTGTAGAATGTGGGTAGTGTTATATGCCTATCTGTGAAAAGAGAAAAGAAAAGTAATTTGGACTTCATAAAGTCGCATGGCATAAAATGTGTAATTTATGTGAATGTATCAGTGTTGGCCAAGCTATCAATTGCTAAATGTTTTAGTCAATGGTTCATGGTTGGTTTAGTATAGTTTCTTACTGGCGCGTGTGGCATACCCTATTATGGGAATATCATTTTCAGGTACAGGAAGCTATGCCACTCCAAGGACATAAGCTTGGCAGGCTTTTTTTTTTTTTTTTTTTTTTTTTTTTTTTCGGACTGAACATACTGTTGTCGTACTATTTTTGAGTATTACATGTAGATTCCAAAGCCAAGGCTTAATTATGTATGAGTTAGTACTCTTTTGTTGATAACCAAGTGTTGGACTTGGAAAGCTGTAAGCCGTAGGGCATTTGCTTTTTGTTGTTAAACAATGTAATACTTATGCTAATAAAACTCTGAAGAAAATGGAAAATTATGGTTATCTATATGTTAATGATCTCTTAATTGATGGTTTAATGCTTTTATTTTGAGGCGTTACAGCAACATTTTAAGAAGTTTGGGACATTTTATTAGGGAGAGATACCTTGAACACGAGTGAATGCGTGAACTTCCTTGTTGATCTCAAAAGTATACCAATCCTCCCCATTTTGGATATTCTCAAAAGCTTAGAGTTTCCAGTAACGGAAAGGTTGAACACCACCTTGCCCGTAGAATCCACAACCGGACATGCTTTCTAGTAGAAACTCATTCCTTAATGTAAAGCTTTTGAGGAGGTAGTGTCCAAGTGCTGGCAAAGGATGCACAACTTCCACAATTATCTAAACTTAAGTCAGCCACATTGGAGAACAAAGGATCTCCTATCCAAGTCGGAAATCTTGTACCAGGTAGCTTTGATATGAGCTCTTTTAAATCTTGGAGTTGATAGCATCCAGAACTTCTCCTCTTCCATCTCGTGAATCATCTAGTTCCACTCCATTCCATCAGGATTAATCACGATCTTAAGCCATTTAAGATTCGCCTCCCTTGCCATCCAGAGGATTCACCACAGTCTGTAATCCAGTAGGCAAAGCTTCCTCTATAGGGATAAATTAAGTTCCCCAACTCTTTTATCGATTACCACTGTTTTTAGAACAATAAAATTGGACAGTGTTTGAGATTAGACAACTTAACCTATTCCCAGTGGCATTTCTCTAAGAACATGCTTGCATCTGTAGTATCGAGATGACGTAGGTTAATTATGTTTCCCAAGTCTTGTTGAACTTTTTCAGTGTTTTTCACATTCTCTTAACATCATGTTGTTAGATGTAAGAGAGCCTAGTGATTTAGGAATTCTTCAATGGAGGTGTGGGATAGTTAAGACCGTAGATGTTTCAAATCTCCAACGAATTTGAACTTCGTGATGTGATATCTATTCATATTTGCAGCACCCTCAAAACGTCTTTAGCTTCGGCAATAGATCAAGGGCGAACATTGCTTGCCAAATAACAACTCAAACCATATGGTAGTTAAATGGGCAAGGAAGGTTCGTAAATGCATGGCTTGTAGAAGGCTCAAAATTTTCATACCCTCAAAATTGCTCCCGCCATAAAGATGAATATCGAGCTTTTTTAATATTTCTTGCACTGCTCCGGATATTTCAAATTCTATCCTCCAATCTAAAACAAGTTTCTCTTGCCAACTACTTGAGCCCAAATCATGTGAGGTTGTTGCATCACAAATTTAGAGCTTTTACCAGACTTGATGGTTGGAAAAAAGACCGTGACAACAATTCCCGAAGTACTCACCTCCTACATCTCCATTTGTTCTTCTTTGTGCTGAATGAGCTCGCATCCACAACAAGACTTAAGCTCCTCTTCCTCAAATTCATAGTCGTTGCGGTATTATTGGAGCAGTATGCAAAGCACTGTTTCAAATGCGTAGGGAGATGATGGTAAGCTTAATTTCTCAGAGCAGGAAGGAGTCAGTTCTTCACAGTGTAATCCCATATTCTACTATGCAAATACAGTTGACATTCCTCTCTCGCCTTTGGCATCGTAAAACAGGCCACCAGCGTCCTCGCAAGCCCAGAGGCAAGCCTTTACATTCTACCACAATTTTCTTACCAATCATACAAATTTGGATTTGCCAGCAAATACTTCTATCTCCAAAAGGCATGTTGTGCAAACAATGACAGCAATCATCATCTGATAGGATCTCAACGTCATGAGTTTCAACAGTTCCCATTCATTCTTGCAACGTTCTCCTGTTACGTGGTAGTAACCACAAACTTACTCCCGTTGAAGCTCCATCATGAAAAGGTTTTCAAAAACATTCCAGTCACTGTATTTTTGCTTTCCAGACATCATCATAAAACAAGTAAGAACTTCTTTCCACACCAAAGCATGCTCAGTTGAAACTGAGCTTGATCCAAGTTATTAAAACTACATGTCTGGGAAGTCCACTGAATCATAATTGCTTTTTGTATTTTCATAAGTTCAAACTCAATCTGATACACACACCAAGCATTTCAGATCGAAATGGTCTTTACAGTTCATCGTTGAATAACCACTGCAGCCAGGGTGGTCTTCCGATCCCACCCATACCCACAATGGGAATTACATCAACTTTGTTATGACTTGATTCACCCGCCACCTACAAGCAACTCAATTTATCTTTCTTGATCCTTTTTCTCTTCCATAAAAAAACCGCGAGGTTCTTAGTAACGATGTAGACTCTGGTCTTTGCCAAGTCTTAGTGGTAGGTGTGGTGGTTCAACAATCTTAAGAAATTAAGTTGCGAAATGATCCAAAACTAGTGCGTAATCTGGTATTGACTCCTCAATCTTGGACCTCATTTTTGAAGTTAAGATGACATCTTTTGGCTGGAAATTAGGGATGAGATTCCATACCTTGCTGGAAACTTAGCTTGGGGTGGCTTTGCCTTGAGATTTCTGTCGCCAAAGCTTCGGTGGCAAACTCATCCACTAAATCATCCAAATCATATGCCAGATCCTGGAGATCGTCGAGC